CAAATCAAATCAAAATGCAATTGCATCTGTGCTATTCATCTCAGGATCGTCAATCGAATATATTCTGTTTATCCCTGAAGGAAATAGAAACGTAAATTCAAAATTTTCCATCCAATTCCTAGATAACGTTATACTATAATATTCGAATCACCATAACATTTCCTTGATATTCACTTGGCAATTTGTTATTTTAATTTTTATCTTTTGGTATACAATAAAGTATAATAAATAAAGAGTTTTTTTTAGTTCGAAACTTTTTAAATAATTAATAAAATATTATAAGTATTATATTCAAATTTATTTAAAAATGTATAAATACAATGAGTACTTCTAAAGGATATATAGTTTGATAAAATAAAGGAGGCAGCGTATTTGTTTTATTAAATGTTAAAATCAACCATTCAGTATAGTATAAAAACATAAACACGATAACATTTCCCCTGGGGTTGAAGAAACTTCGACGTATTAAGAAGTTAACATTCACGCGTAATAAGCACACAATAAATAGACTTGGTGGCAATTTATTGCTAAACAAGGGGATCGGAGAAAAACTTTGGTCATTGAATTAAGAAAGTAGGTTGCAGTTTGCCTTATCCAACAGCAGTTCAGTTTCTTATACAAACAATAAATATTTGGTACATTTTATGTAGCAAATTGATAGCTCCTTTGGTAAACGTATAAAAAATAAACTATTAATCTACCGATGCGTATGCATTTAGTTCAAAATGCCGGTTCAGATGTAAAATTTGTTTTCGTTCCTGCTGCTTTAGCATTGAAGTTATCAACAAGAAACGTGTATAGTCTTGGTGGTGGTCTTTTGAATGGCCTTAAATGTCCATGAGTTCGACTAGTCCAAGATCACCTTAGAATTTTACCAAAGGAATTTAACCATATTTATAGGGTAATTGGTATTTTTTTTATGGTGATCTGACAACTGGGGGTTCTTGGGGGTTTTTGCCAGGAAAAGAAGGAATAAATCGTACCGGACATAATGGTTATTGCATAATGGTTATTAGTTTCTGTTCATTAAAGAGTTTTGGCCTTTAACGCTATTTTATCAAATATTTTCGTCTTCTTTTGTAACATTTTATATAAATATCCCTTGTAATTACTAAAATCCACAGAATAAATTAAAAACCAGATACTGTTTTATAAACATTTCATTGAAAGCCACAACAGTCAGCGAATTTGTTCGCATCCCAAAAGTTATCCCGATACGATATCTGAACGTTAACAAAGTAATTTAATTATGCGTACATTTAAAACAGTTACCGACTCATTGCATATGACTATAATTTAAAAATAATATATTATGGCATAAGTACAAACAAGAAAACAAAACCAGGTGTAAATATTATGTTGAAATCTCTTAATTTCTAACTATTATTTTGTCATATTAGGGTTTGATCTGTTTAATAGCGCAAATCGGCTTTGTAATACCAGGTAAAGTGACGTGAGTTTTTTCATAATTATTTTACTAAAAGCCAATTAAAACATTTCTTCGACCTGAAACTTCCGAGCGTAAGTAGCACAATTCACTACACTCATATTACAATCAGATGATTGGTATAGGAACGCAAAGATGACAAAAAAAACTATTGCATTCTTATTTTCGCTTCTTTATTTTAAATGAATAAAAGTTACTTGGCGATTTTTGAGGATCTTGGTATATATAAGTTTTTGTGACCTCGTTTAGCACAGAGGAATCTTATAAGTATAGATCATTATAACCTCAACAGGATAGTGTTCACGAAGCAGCGTAAACGTAACTATAACAGAATATAATTGATTCCTTATAATTAATACTTTCACTATAAGAACTACCTTACGCCTCTTACGTTCTGTTTTATTTAACTTTCAAAACACGAGTATGCATTCTTAAATATTATTAATAGTTGTAGATTTATGAAAAACTAATAAATATTATTATTTATGTCAGTGGGTTTGTGTACAGTCCAAATAATATTAAGCCGTACGGCCGTATTATTTGTTCCCGTTGTTAAGTTAAAAGTAATAAAGAAAAGTGTGTGCATAGTTCATAAATAAATAAATATCTTGTAAGTAATCATAACACGAAGTGATATAACTTGAATCATGTAGCTTAAATTAAACGCAATTTTAAACACCACCCTCGGGCCAGAGACTGTTGCCATATCAATCTATAGATAATAGAGTTTACAGTGTATCATGTTCAGTAGATTGCATGAAACATGCCCTGAGGTAACATAATAACACAACACTGCTGCAATAACGTGACACTTCACCTAGCTTTTCAAATCACAGATTCATTTTTATTTTTGATTTCATTTTTAAATTTTTGGCCTACAGCAGGAAATTACTGATGAAGAAATTTACATATTTGTTCGTTTCTTTTTGTAGACATTTTCAATTTTATCATAACTTAACAAAACATTAATAGATAAGCACAGTTTATTAAATATATATTATCATCATAGGCGATTAATATTCAATATTAAAAAAGCTTTCCAAATAGAAAATAGTCGTAATATTCCAGCACATTTAACATATTGAAGTAACCAAGTAATTAGCAATCTACCATTTTCTTTTAAAGTACCCCGTCATAAATTTGATCGATCATCAATCTTCTTTCAAAATTTAAATTATGACTGAAGAATAGATAAATGATCTTTCCGTATTCTATAACTATGTATCATTTTCTATGGCTTGGAGCGTTATTTTTCTTAATATTCTTTAATTTTAAGTATAAATGAAAACATTGAGGAATTTGAGATATAATATATTTGCACACTTAATTTTCATATGGAGAAAGTTACATAAGCTACAAATTAAACATAAATATTTACAATTTATATGTTACAGATACATAAAATTAGTTTACGCAAATAAAACATGTTTTGTTTACGTTCACTGCATAAAATGAAATATATTAAAACATTCATTGTTTACTTTTCTATTAGTTATATTGTTCTCAAATAGTAGTACATATTAAAGATTTTCGGCAAAGAATTTTTAAATGTCAGGTTGTCCGAATGAATCAGAAAGAAAACACTTATAAAGGCATGTAAAACGTTATACTTCATTGGCGAAATAAAATAAAAAATAACTAAAAATTAATTAATTTATTTATTTATTTATATTTTTTATATTTATATTTTCTATACAAATATACTTACTATAACAATCCTGTATGTAGTTTTATACATACACGTTATTTTTTTTATGTGAGAAGGTGGCAAGCGAGCTGGCGGATCACCTGATGTTAAGTGATAACCGGCGGCCATGTTACCACGGCGTAAATGTATATCATTTACAACACGCGCATGGTTGCAGATGCGTTGCCACCTTTTAATAAATGGGCCCCGGCTACCTCACGCACCAGAGAAAACGCAGAAGAATATCACGTCCGCTTCACACCGGTCTCCGGGGAGGTCCTGTCTACTTACCTGGACGGACCTGCCCATTCGTCCAACTGCCGAAGGTGACGCTTGGCTCTACCACAGTAATGTTATAAATGTGTTACATTAATTCAAAAAATATGAATTAAAAAAAGAGTAGTACATATAGTACTATTATATTCATCAGTATCAATAAGTGGATAATAATAGTAGGTTTTTTAAACAATAACTTTAAAGGAGTAACATCATTCTGTGTTATATAGAAAATACAAGGGATTAACGTACAAAAAGACAAAGGATTAATTTTATTTTACAATTTAAAACGTAATGTATTCCATTTTATACAGAGTTATGAATTTGCAAAAGAAAACGTTTCTTCATTAAAATGTTACCCTAGGAACTTTCTTGGGCAGACTTTAATCAAAATTATTCAATTTTGAAAGGGAGAAAATGTGCGAAAAATTTGATATTGCAAAATATGATTTAAATACATACGTGTATGTATTAATATATTATGAAAATTTTAAGTGCAAAGAATAAAACATAAATGGTTAATTCTGTACAATGTAATACAAAAATATAAGTATAAAAAGCTCATTTGGAATTTGTTTAGATTTGCTTGTAATGAACAACTGATTTAAGATATTAAATCTAATTGATTTAATTATTGATGTCACATTGAACACTCAGGTAATAAGGAATAAATTTCCTTTTCGATATGGAAAAAATTGTCTCGTTTACAGCAACACGTTTTTCCGAGTCAGGTAATACCAGAAGTAGATCTCCGTTAAACAAGCCATAAAACTGTACTTTCCGCCAACAAGAATAAGTAGGGGAACTTAAGCTTTCGGTAATCCGAAGAAAAGATATTATTAAACTACATTTTTGGCCGTATAGATAGAAAGATCTTTTCCAACACGTCTTAACGACCATTCGATATGTACGTACATGAACGAATACTGATAAATTTTTGGATCGATTTTATAAGACTTTTAATACCTATAAAAAGTATCATTAAACTATTTGAAAATATAAAATGTATAATTTGTAAATTTGTTTAACACATTATTTGTATGTTTGTCGTCACAATTTATTTTGCTTTTCGTTGTAATTGATTGCTATTATGTTCATGGAATGATCATTGCAATTTTAATACAGAGTTTGAGGTGCTAGAATAAGTAATGACTGATGTATTTAACATTTCATATGATGTTAAATATTTTAAAAAATATGAAAGCTAAAGGTATACTCATCAATATTTAATGAAACGTCAATTATTTATGCAACTTAGGACTGTACAGTGGTTATTTTTGTAATCAAAATAACATATGGTTTTAAAATAATAGGCAATATGTTTTTTTAATATTTTTATTATTATAATCTAGGGCAACACTTTATATTTATTTTCCATAATAAGACTTGAAAGATTTTTTACAGTAATACTTCTATTTTGTTATGAAACGTCTTTATAACCAAGTCTTTGTTATGTTCGCGTGGTGGATCAGTTTTTGGTGATATCCTATTCATTCTATAATTATACTGCGGCTACCTCCTATGAATATAAAATCAATCATTCTTCATTGTCTTACGTTCTTTTATAAGTCTAACGTTATTTTCTTGCTAATGGTCTTGTTCTTTAAAATCATCATTATGAAGCAGTATTAAACTCTCGCTCTCAGTGGGGGTCTCGAGCAACGGCAAGTTCTCAACTTCACCTGAAAAACAATCACTACATAGTATAAAACAAAGTCGTCCCGCTGTCTGTCTGTCCCTATATGCTTAGATCTTTAAAACTACGCAACGGTTCTTTTTTTACTAGATAGAGTGATTCAATCGGAAGGCTTATATGTATAATACATTCATTTCATCTTCTTCATTTGTACAAAGTTACTTCTTAGTTGGAATGATAAGACTTACCTATTCTTACGGTAAAATTCATTGATTCACTTTCGTCTAGCATGGAGAAAACGTTTTCAACGGGAATGTACACGTTTTGCGTGTGCTCTAAGAAATCCGCATCCTTTTCGCACTTACAAGGTCTCCTACAATAAAATCAAAGGACAATAAATCAGTAAATAAAACATCATCTGTGCGATATATATAAAAGAATAGAGTACCGACCTGTAAATAATTCTTTTACTCGGCAAATTTGGCAAGAATAAATCGATTTCGAAATAAAATTTATCTGCATTGTCATCGTTCACTAGTACAGTCCACATCATTCTTCCTGGAAATTAGGGTAAATATTTGTTCAATGTACACGAGTACTGCATTGATTACTAGTATGAATACCATTTTTAGTATCAATTTATTACATAAAAACCTATAACGTATATTAAATGAAAAAGATCCAATTATTGGTAGTAATAAACATAATATATAGTTAATAATTTGAATACTAAGACATTTTATCTTTGTAATAATTTTTTCGATATATGAAAAACGAGCGTGTCGCCATTATATCTATTCACGTATACATATAATAGGATTTAACCATTTTAGTTTTATAATTTAAATACCGTAACAATTTTCGATAGATAAGGCTGCCAATTGGAATATACAAATTTTCACAAAAAGTATAGCAATATATTATTTATGTTAGTTATTGTATGTACAAGTATAATATTGAAACGATCAAAAACACCTTTAATTTTGGCAATTTAACATAGTTTAATAAGTGCGGTGCACGCAACAGTTCGCTGTTGCACTGCACTGAGGACCGACGTGAAATGGAAGTGTTATAGTTCTGGGTTCCCTCTGGTGAGTGAGGTAGACGAGGCCCACTTTATTAAAAGGTGGCAACGCATCTGCAACTTAACGAGTGTTGCCTGTTGCAAATATCAGTGAGCGGCGGTTATCACTTAACATCAGATGAACCACCAGATCGCTTGCCACCTTATCAGATAAAAAAAAATCGCAACTACAAATTCGCAATTTGGCAAATGTTTTAGTGAACTAATATCAGACTGAAACCATGACGCCTCTAAAACTCGGTGTAGCAAGAAGTTTAGAGCTAACTCTATCATTCATTCCGCTTCGTGCTTCCACACGGAACGGACGTTACTCTGAGCCGGAGGGCCCATGCCAGCCGACCCGGAAGCCATCTTGCAACCGTTGTTGCTGATATATTTATTACCTTTCTTGGTGTGCACTGTTCTCCTCATCGTTGTCGTGTTTCGCGGTCTACGGTTAGGGAAGTCTCAAGCAAGAAGATAGAAGACAAATTATAGAAGAAAGAAAAAACATTACAGAAGAACGAAGAAACTGCCCGACTTCCGAGCGGATAGTGTTAGTGTAGTGTTGTGCTCGTAGGCAGGTTCCTGTCCGTAAGTAGAATCTACACACATTTCTCGTCTCAGAGGCGGCATTGTAATTTTTATCTGTGTGCTTGTTGCATTAGGCGACAGCTAGGTACTCACCCCAGCGCACCTAAAGCGCAGGTGATTAACCGTTAATTTTAGGCACACACCTCCCTGCCGCAAGGTGGGGAGGCCTATTTAGAAACCACACGCCGGCGGGGCGCAAGCCCCAAAGGCACAAGCGTCGTCATGGGTTCCCTCTTAGAGGAGTTCCTTCGGCAGGAATGCCCCGAAGTATGGGCAAAATATTTAAGCTTCGCGAGGGAACGGCGCCTTGTCGTCGAATTCTCTAGAGACAGTTCGGCTTCACCGGCTACCGCCTCGCCGCCATCTCCGGTGCCCTCTGCGCCAGCTATTGTGTCGCCCTCTGCGACAATCGAAACGCCCGTCGCGTCGACCTCCGCCGCCGCGATCGAACCTAACGCGCCTTCCGCGCAATCAATTTCGGCCCCCTTCCGCGCTGTCGTTCCCGACTCTCAATCGGACGGCGGCTCAGACATGGAGGTCGAAACGACCCCCGCTAACAACGCGAACGCCGACGGCTTCACCGTCGTCAAATCGCGCAAAAAGGGCAAGAAACGCCCCGCTACCGACAGCGACCTCGAAAGCGAGGCCGCCCCGTCAAACCGTCCCACCGCGACGCCCGCCAAAAAGGCAGCCGCGACTGCCCAGTCTACTTGCGCGAAACTAAAGTAGGTTTCCACACCTACTCACTACCCGAGGAGCGTAAACTTCGGGTTGTAATTAAGGGCGTCCCGAAAGAGTCGGATGTCGATAGGGCTAAGGTCGACATCCGCACGCAGGGATACCCTGTGCACGCCGTACGTCGGCTCAGACACCCTCGTACCCGTGTCCCTATGGACATGGTTATGGTTGAACTTGACCCTACCCCGGAAGGTAAGGCCATCTTCAACCTGAAGAGGGTCTGTGGGCTCAGTGACTTAGTCATCGAGCCCCCGCGTAAGTCAGGTGTTGTGGCACAGTGCCACAACTGTCAGCATTTTGGCCACACGGCCAATAACTGCTTCGCTCACCCAAGGTGCGTCAAATGCACCGGTGACCACGGCACTACCGAGTGCACGCGACCGAAAGATTGCGCAGATCCACCGGACTGCGTAAACTGTAACGCCACTGGCCACCCGGCTAGCTACAGAGGCTGCGTTAAGGCCCCGAAAACTCCCGCGAGGAAATCTCCCGCGAAATCCACGTTGCCCAAACCCGCGCCCGTTAAATTCATTCCCGCGCCCGTTAAATTCATTCCCGCGCCCGTACCCGTCAAAAACGCCTGGGCGAAACCCCAGGTGGCCGCGCAGGTAACCGCGCCGGTAATCCCGGTCGCCTCACGACCGATCGCACAACAGCTGCCCGCCTCTCAAACGGCGCCGCGTTTGCAGGTGCAGCCAACTCCGTCAGCTTTCGCGGAAAACAAGGACGACCCATTCGCGCAAATCGCTAATATTTGCAGCTTACTAGATAGAATCAATAGGCAGGAACTCGCCGTATTGTCCGCTAAAATAGCGGCCGCCACATCTGGCCACGAGCGTCTTAGGGCAATTAGCCAACACAAAACGCTTGTGGAAGCCCTTTGGGCTTTTACGAGTCAACCGTAAAAAACAATAGTCCGCGCAATAAAACCGCGCTCCGCCGCGTCGTTAATTAGGCCCATAAAAACACCTTAATGGGAAGTACAACCGCAGGTAGAACAAAACCTCGGGCTCTGGTTGTTTCGTATTTCAACGCAAACGGCATAAAGGGTCAAAGGGATGAAATCGCGGAATTCCTTCGTGATTATAACGTAGGTATTTTCCTAGTGCAAGAGACATTCTTGAAACCTAGTGTACGCGATCCCAGAATCGCAAATTACAATATTGTCCGCCACGACCGGTTAGCAAACCGTCTGGGAGGCACACTAATTTATTATAAAACGGTCCTTGCACTGTTGCCCGCTCGACATTCCAGAGCTAAGTCAAATAGAGGCATCCGCGTGTAGGTTAGCGCTCACCGGCCACAGGCCGCTTGTACTAGTCTCAGCCTACCTCTCGGGGAATAGAACCCTACTTCAAAGCGACCTAGATACGCTTCTTAACTGAGGCCCTTCCGTGATAATTGCAGGAGATCTAAACTGCAAACACGGCTCATGGGACATCAACAGCATCCCAAATAACAACGAAAAGCATCTCTTTAGCTTATCCGATAACCTAAATTTTAGTATAGTCGCTCCCGCGACTCCCACTAGGTATCCTACGGTGGACAACTACCAGCACGCGTCACCGAGTGTCCTAGACATAATGTTATTCAGGGAGGTCTCGCTCGACATCGAGTCGATAGAGACAATCCATGAACTAGACTCAGACCACAGGCCCGTCCTGTGTAAACTGGGCCAGAACGCCGGCGCGGTCCCTCCGACCAAATCCGTAGTGGACTGGCATCGTCTTGAGGTCAAACTCAAGGCCTTGAACCCCCAGGACTTAGTACCCGAGACGATAGCTACGTTCGATGACGCAAATTGAGCGATAGCGAGTCTCCGCGAAACTATTACTTCCGCAGTCACAGACTCGGAACGGACGGTAAAACTGTCGGGCGACCGACGGTTTAACTTTCCGTCCTACCTACGACTGCTAATTAGACAGAAAAATGCAGCCAAACGCGCCTTCGACCGATACCGATCGTTATCGAACCGAACCCTACTTCGACGCCTTCAGCTAGAAGTCAAAGATCGAGTATCGGAACACCGACACACAACGTGGGACACTCTCCTAGAGGACATCGAGCCATCGCACACCGCTTACTGGCGGTTGGCCCGCAGTCTGAAAGCAGATCCCCGCGAATCTCTACCGCCGTTAGTTAGACCTAATAGCGCTTCAGTAGCCCTAGATGACTCCGAAAAAACCGAATGTCTTGCGGACAACCTAGAGCAGCAATGTACGCCATCGCGCGAACACACCGATTCAGTCCACCTAACGGAGGTGGACCGCGTAATCGAGACTAGGGCTGCGCTTCCACCGGAAGGCGAACCTTTAAATTCAGTGACCCCCGAAGAGGTCCAAGATATTATTAAAAATTTAAAACCAAAATCCGCCCCGGGCCCAGATAATATAAGTAATAAGATTCTCAAAGCTCTCCCTGGGCCGCTTATCTGTTTACTGGCGACCATTTTCAATACCCTTCTCTCCAGTTGCTCCTTTCCGGACGACTGGAAGCAAGCCACGATTATCGGCATTCGCAAGCCGAATAAACCAGCCAATCAGCCCTCTAGCTATCGTCCCGTCAGCCTCCTCAGTTGCCTGGGGAAGCTCTACGAGCGGCTCTTGTTAAACAGAGGCCAACGGCCTTCTGCCGACGGAACAATTCGGCTTTCGAGCTAGACACTCTTGTCCCGATCAGTTATACCGCCTAACGGAGCACATCCTAAAAGGCCTTAACCACCCCCCAAACACATTAGTACAGGGGCTCTCTTCTTCGATGTCGCAAAAGCATTCGACAAAATCTGGCACAACGGCTTGCTTTACAAGCTGTACACACTCAAAGTGCCAGATAGGCTTGTACACACCATCCGGGCCTTTTTGTTGAACCGCTCTTTTCGATATCGAGTCGAGGGCACCCTCTCCACAAGCCGCCGCCTCACGGCCGGCGTACCACAAGGCTCCTGCCTCTCACCCTTGTTATTTACGCTCTACACGAGCGACATACCTAGAGACCCCCACGTCAATCTCGCGCTTTTCGCGGATGACACGGCGCTCTTTTACTCAGACCGCAACCTCAGTCAATTAACGGCTCGACTCCAAAGCACCGCCGACCGCCTCGGCGATTGGTTCCGCAAATGGAGAATCGATATTAATCCCGAAAAGAGTGTGGCGATTCACTTCACACGAAGTACCTACCCGTCACATCTTTATAATGGGGGTCGTGAATGCAGAAAGTTGGGGCAAATATCCCTTTATGGCCAACCGCTCCCCTGGGAGAAAAAGGTCAAATACTTAGGAGTCACTTTCGACTCGCGTATGTCATTTCATATCGTAATAGAGCTGCGTTCGTCTCCGGCCGGCTACACAATTTAACTAATGCTAAAAGTAAAATGCCCTTAAGGCACAAATTATTATTATATAAAGACCTGCGTACGACCTATTATGTCCTACGCATGCATGATCTTCGCCCACACGCACCCTACTCGCTTGTACAAGTTGCAAATAGTACAAAATAAGTTTATCCGCCGCGCAACCGGTGCGCAGTGGTATCAGCGCAACGTCGACCTGCACAGCGATTGCAGACTCCCGACGATTCGCGCACATTTTAAAGATTTGACAAAACGGTTCTTCGATAGAGTCCAACATCATCATCCAACCCTCTGGTGGTAAGCGCAGCAAACTACCAACCGGACACAAACGCGAACGTAAACAAGCGTCGCCCGCGAAACGTCCTCATCGACCCGGTCGACGAAGAGGACTTAGATACGATGGACCCACCGCCGGGGGTCCCGCCGGATAACATTACACCCACAGTTAGTGTAACAACAATCACACCAGTTCGCCCTCGCCTCCGAGCACGGCGAGACCCACACAACGCGTACACAAGGTACACCCGCGTTCCGGGGCGGTTCTCACCGCTCCCAGCCACCGATTAGCTAAATGCACAGTCGACGGCCGTCGGGGTCTCGGTCCGAACCGGCGACCTCGACGGCCCTTAGATGACACACCATAGTAGTTAAACGCACGCATGAGCACATGCGCGACCCTACCCATAGCGGAGGGTCCAAACCCGTGGGTTCTGGCTAGCCCACCGGTTCTGCGTCCGATGAAGCTTTAATAGTCTCGGGACTGAAAGCAAAAACATCAGTTAATCCAAGATACAAGAAGCTAAATCTATGAGTATGCCTTACCTCCTCGTTTATCGTAAATCTGATAGACATTAAACACTTTCTCGTAACATTTCATTAAGAAATAATTTAGGACTGGTTCCGTTCTCTTTGCGTCCCACTTATCCTTTATAGTAATGAACGGCAATTCGGTAACTTTCTGCTTATGCGCTACAAAGCAATGATCCATCCATTCACCAGCGCGTCCTTCCCAGGAACAATCGCCTTAAATAGATACGAAGGTAATAAAATATATATATATATATATATATATATATATTACAGGTTTTTCATTTAAATTAACACCAGTAAGTTGGTATCAAGTTGGATGAAATAGAGCATTGAGATATATCGTGAGTATAATCAACAACATTTCAACAGTTAAAACAGAAATGATCGCGATAGACAATACTAATCAATATAATATTTCATTCACAGCAGGATGAATTTGCAAATATATATTTTATAAGCATGATCCCATATCGTTGTGATATTTCCGGTTTTTCCAATTATGTCCCAATCCATTCTTTGGTTTTCATAAAATTATCAACTCAGTGGCAAATCTTGTTGCAATACACTTATTCACTATATAGTATATATAAAAAAGCCATTTCATATTCTTGGTTATGATTATTTTAATTAAAACGACATACTATTTAATTACACATGGAGTGAACCCCTAAACCTAAACCCCTAAGAAAACTTACCATATACTCGTGCCATGAAACAGTTAATGATTCGGAATTGACAATGGGGAATGTGCTTCTCGAGCAATGGTAGATTCGCATGTTTTGGACAGCCTTCGTTCGTGCATGGAAACAAGACCTTGTTAGCCAAAGACTCCAACACCATCGGACGGACAAGGGCGAACTCTTTCTAAAAACATTGTAAATTAAAGTTCATGTATTAGTGCCTGATAACAATAAATAAAGCCTTGCTCGCTGCTTAGTTTTATTAGCCACCTGGACAAGGGCGGATCCAGGGGGGGGGGGGTCATGGGGGTCATGACCCCCCCCAGGGCTGGGTCCAGGGCCTAGGTGGACCATTAATTAAAATTGTTAAACATAATGTTTTTATATATATTTTTGCCACAATATACATTTTATCTAAGTACCTTTAATATTTAATTAAATTAATATAACATTTTTAACCGACTTCAAAAGGAGGAGTTCCTCAATTCGATTGGTATATTTTTTTCGATGTATGTACACCGATTACGTTGAGATTTATGATCCGATTTACGTGTCTCTTCTTTAGTTTTATGCAGAATAGTTGTCATTTGGTCCCATAAAAATTTACCATAGTCTGGCCAAGTAGTTTTCATTTTATGAACATTTTTACAATATTTTAATGTTAAATCATCAAATCAAATCTTGCAAATTAAATTTGATTTACTTCCCGGTTACCGGTTGAGCTGAAATTTTGTATACATGTGTGAATCGCGAGACAATGCAATATTTTTATGACATGGTGCTGATCTGATGATGGAGCTGGAAGCAGGCCAAAGGAACTTCGAAATGAAACGACAGAGCCTCATCGCGTTTGGGTACATTTGAATCGTATTGACGAGTAGTTTGTCTTTCATTCGTAACCAGGATCTGATGATGGAGCTCCATCTTCAGCCGTCCATGGACATATGCATAGGGTTGCAAATGCGTTTTCTCCTTATAATAAGTAAGAGAAAACGTATCTCGTGAGTGAGTTACTCACCAGACAAATAGCAGAAGTACTTTACGCCGATCTTCTGTGAGGTCTATGAGGCTATTCTGGGAGGTTCCTATGACTACTCTGTAATGAAACGACTCAACCCCATCGAGTTTCGGCTCGTTTGATTCGTCTTGGCGAGTTCTTTAGTGTTAGATGGTAACCAGTGTCTGATGACAGAACTGGAATGTGGCCATAGGAACTCAGTAATTAAGGAACACAACTGCGTCGAGTTTCATTCGACTTAACGGGTGGACCGTTTGTGATGGGTGATGTGGTGGTTTAGTGGACGTGAGTATGCGAGACCATCTTTGGGAAATAAAGTTTGTTAGTTCCGTTTGTTATGAATGTGGATTCTGTCTTTGATTAGATAGTCCCCGTCTTAGGCTACTTGTCATTAAAGTGGAGCCAGCGTGCGGGGTAGAGGAATAGAGAATATTATAACCAATACGACTACATAAAATCTGGTAACGAAGAAATAAATAAAAGAAATTCCAAAAATAAGTAATCCTACCAATAGCTACTTAAAAAAATACTATACAGGGTGGCTTTTCTAAGTGCATCCATTTTTTTTATTAAATTCTAAACGTTAACTGAACCCCTGTGTGAATTTGGGCACCTTTATAAATGCCACCCTGTATAATATATGATAATAAAAAGCAACGAAATGTTACGAACAAAAAAGAAAATATCAAATAATAAATAAAAAATAAAAGCAAATCCGTCTATATATGACGAAGGTATGCCCGAACATACCTACATAAAAAAAATATAAGCAACCGAATTGATAACCTCCTTATTTTTGAAGTCCGTTAAAAAATAAGTTCCTACTTTTTACTTGTATCTATGATTATAAAAATTTAACTATAACTTCTTATCACTTGCCAAAGACTACGTGACCCCCCCCCCCCCTGGCACCAAAGCTGGATCCGCCCTTGCACCTGGATCGCGTGAGTACGTTACGATTTTTTACCAGATAAAAAATGTTTTATGAGTTAATCAATTTTAAAAATTATATGCATTCCATATTTTGATTCAAATCCTTAAACTTTTCCGGTATAAAGAAGAGCAAACACATTGAGACAGTACAAAAATTATTTTAACAGCTCACCTTAATGGGCATAAAATAAAGAACACACAAATAGAATTGATGGTCTTACCTTACACAGGTGACACTGGTAGCTCTTCTCGAAACACGGACCACATAAGCTGTGCCCGTCTACACACAAGTGGATCGGAGGTTTCATGTATTTGTTGCATTTCGTACATGTTAAATCTTTGATGAGGCTCTCGTAGTGATCCGTCTCGAGGAGGGTACTAAGTACAACTGGAATGTAATTCATTATTTATTTAAAACAAAAAATGTATAAAAACAAAATTCGCCGGATGATATCAATTTATAAGGAAGTTAAATACACACAATTTATACTGTTCCCGTACGCTCATTCCTGACGTTTCCATAATTTTTTTTTTTTTCATAATGCAAAGAATAACATTTGAAACTTATTAATTATAAATGTATATTGATTTAGGGATAAATAACAAAACTTTTACCAGCCAAACTAGTGAATGAAACTAGTTTAGGGATTTTATCACGTTCTAATTTTGATTTTTGACGTGATTCGTGTCATGGTTCATGGTCATCAGTTCAGACCATGAACGCAAAATAATGAGGGTGAAAGTTATACATGTATAGCACTTCATTAAAGTAATTCAAAAGCAACAAAAAGATAACTAACATTAAGCACGCATTACATTAAGCCATAAAGAATAAGCCAGGTTAGCTAGTATGAGACAGTGATTGAACGGTAGACGTGTCTGTTTATTTGTGTACTCCACCGTGATATGGAAAAAAATCACTTGTCGTACACTATTGTTATTTATCTATTATTGTATTAACGCAATCAATATAAATCTGGAGCAGATACCTGAAGATAGGTCGATCAGTCATTTAGTTGGCCATTAATCTAACTAATACAAACGTATAATTTATATACATACGTCAATTGTAATCTTGCGAAACCCGGAACTCGCGATGTAATCTATTAGAGGAACTAGTTACATTAAATATAATTAAGTGTTTTAAAATCAGAACTATCACTGGCTTTTAAGGGTTTTATATTTATATTTATTACTGGTCATGTGAGGTGAACGGATAATTTTAGTTAAATGTGAACAATATTCAGTCTCTGCCTATCCTGTTCTAGTATGTTATAAATAAAAACAATATACGCTTATTTTCGTCTGACCGTTGGGAAAATTACTATGATACAAAAATAGTACCTACATACTATCGAAACTTATTTGAAATCAAGTACTATAACTAATCGAGTTTAAATAATTAAATTATAACTTAAAAAGCGCTAAGCTGATGTTATTTTGCTGTAGTAAATTTAAACACCTCTGGGGCAATTTTCTCTACCGTTAACATAAAAAGCGTATGAAAATACCCTATTGCCAGCGAAAGAAGTTTTGAAACAGCTAAAAGTAAAATATTAATGTTTAGGTAAATTCCATTAAAAGTTACTAATACACCTTAAGCACAAAAACACTAATCGATTTAATTAAAAAAGTAGAAAAGAATCAAAATTTATTCTATGTTACGACCACGAACTTCATAAAGGCAACTTGTTTGAAGCCGCCAACAAAGAAGTTACGAGGGCGAGTTAAAACTGTTGCGAAAATATGACGTCAGTCTAGCAATCGTAAGAATATGAAATGTAAGAATCCAGCAAACGGGATTCGTGCGAAATCTAAAAATGTACTAACGTTTTCTCCCGGCCAGCGAAGACGTCGATGACATTACGAAAATAACACCAGACGCACCAAAAACGCAACCAACTACGCCGCGCCGCACTCAGTTTTACACTTATTATACACTTTTAAATACAGACGAATGGGTGTAAGTCGATTATGGTGTAATCGTTCGTCCATTTTCAATGATAAGGCGGTAATGTACATATCTCGAGCGTGATTACGATTGTGTCTAGGTGTTGGCGACACTGGCCGACGGTCTATATTTAATATAACGCGGCAAGGTTACGCGGTAAGGGCCGCAGTCGCCTGACCGAGTACGTACATGCGAATCTATGTTCTAATTAACCCAAACTGAACCGTTTAAAACCGTTTTTAAGGTTAGTTTTTTGAAATTCGATGGCTCTCTTTCGTGAAACATTTCGCATGAATAAAATTATTACAGACTGCTCGTAAAAAGAAAATGTTTGTATTGATTTTTCTTTGCTCTTTCTATACAGTTTTGTAAAAAATTATAACAAACACGCACATAATTTATAAAGTTATTATAAGTAACGTTGCTGACTGAATTTCAGAAAAATTGCACGTTTAACGTATTTAGTACGTGTGTGGTCTCCTCGGCTGCTAATATACAACTGCAGTGAGGAATGAAAATTGTGTTTATCTGTGCCCGAATTCGAGCACTTAGGGTAGGCGAATCCTAAAATTTTGTGTGGTATTTACACATATTACAGAATAGAATATTCAAAGAAAACAATCACTTAACAAATGGAATTACTTTACTAACAAATTATCGATTTTGAGATTTTTTCCCCAATTTTCAAAAGGTTGTCAACGCATCTGTAACCCTCGAGTGTAGCAGATGTCCATGGGCGGCGGTATTCACTTAACATTAGGTGAACCGTCTGCTCGTTTGACAACTTTTCGCATAAAAAAAAAAAAAAAAAAAGATGCAAGAATAGATAATACGAATATAGTTCTACAGACATTATGTCCTGGTATAATTGTAATTCTTATAGACTATTTTCTGTTGCTTATTGCACTTGCATGTCATACAGTCTCGTACTCAAATTCTTACTTAAACTAAGTGCTGGTATCCTAATTCTATGTTTATAATGTTTTTAGATTGAACTGAATAATTACGTAATTTATATATCATAATCTCTTTTTCCATGTTCTGATAATACGTTGGGCATAAAAAATCGACTGTCGAATCGAAAATTCAACTGTCTGAAAAAAGGTTACTATTTAATTTGCAAGACTTTCATTTGTTATGTTACCGTTGCATTAGTAAAATTATTTGTTGTTAAAAGTAATTGTATTACTTTAACTAGTGAAAATTATCGTTTAAAGATTTTCTTACACTGTTCGCTATGGCTTAAGTCAATAAGAGAGTTGCTAAGTCTTCAATTTAGACGTTTGGATGAAACTGACAATAAACTTATCTGAAAATTCGTACTGTATTAGACACTGGAATGAGCAATGTGCATACGCTACTTGTAAATAAAATGATAAACAAGTTAAGCGGACGACGGTCAATGGGTTTCGATAATACTGACTGACGAAATCAAAGATGAAGAAACCTGAGCATACTACTTTAAAACGCAAAGGAAAAGCCAGTTGGCAGAAATGGATTTTTCCTTCAAAGAATTGCAGAAGAAATTAAAAAATAATCTGAGCACTGGAAAGAAAATGATAACTTCTTTTCACGGCAAAACAATATACATTGTCGCTTGTAAACTCAAGGACTAAAAGTAAGCATTTGTTGGCCCAGATTAATACAAAAAATTATAGAAAAGATCATCTCAGCAATGTCACGCCGCCGTCAATACAGTCCGTACACCCCAGTCAAATTCGGTACGAATAAGTATTTAAAGGCCTTTAATGTAGAACTGATGACGCATCTGCTATACGTCGCGGATGTCACGCACCTGCGATTTAGTTTTATTAGGGCGAGCGAAGTGAGTCCTTACACTATTCGACAATCTGAGCACTTTTGTGGTACACTTTACGGAAAAACTATCAGGTCTATAGATTTGTGCCTTAACACAGTAATTTAACTTCATATCTAGATGTGTTATCTGCCAAAAAAAATGTAATTTGTTTTTTTTATATTTATTGGATACAATGTTATTGTACTACTAACGCCATCTGTTAGAAAACTAAAGAGGTAATCATCGGCCACTGCAACAAAACTAAGGCTGACATTTTTTGAACATGTTTTGAAATGACTATTAGTGAGCACCTGCAAATAATAATATAGGAATGCGTGAACGATAACTTTGTGAAAACCAGTCAAATAGTAAGTTTACCAAGTTGTAATTAATGATATTGTTACAGCGAAAAAAAGAATAAAAATACTACAGTAAAATGACGCGAAGACTCACATTAACAGGCCGTAAAGAACGTGAAAAAAACCCTTTGTTGATAAATCAGACGAGAGAACGTTAGAAAAGCGAACGAGAGGCAGAATCATATTTATATCACGAAAATTAGAATTTTTTAGAATTTAAAAGCCACAGAGCAGGTCCGCCGCTGGAGGATGGAAGGCTAGCTGCTTACTGGCTCTCCTGGCTCTCCTGGTAGCCGAGTAGGAAGGCACGCTGAATGTTCCAGCGCGCCTTCCTACTGCCGATACGTGCCGTCACAGAATTAAAATAAGTACTAAACAATGTTTGATAAATAAAAAAATATCTAAAATTATTGTTCGTATTAATTATTGACTTCGGTAAATATGATATGGGCCCGAAGCTCATATCGGAAATAATAATTAAAAAAAAATATTTTATAAATTATTACCATTTAAAAAAATTACGCGAGCCCTCACAAAGCTCAGCTTTTTGCTAGTTTACGAAAATGTAAGCTAAGCTAAGAAGCCCTTTCCCAGTAACGGCAGTGTATACGTTCCATGGAGTAATTAAACAGAAGACTACTTCACCAAATAGTTGCCATGAATGCAAAAACCTGTAAATATGTATATGTACATACCTTGTAGTAACTTTATAGTAACCGGTTGACATAATATGGGCAAGTTATGAGAAGGGATGAAAGCCATGTGACTAGAAGAGTGATGAGTATGAATGTGATTGGTGGGTTAGAGGAAGGCTGAAAGAGATTTGGATAGACTGTGTGAAGAAAGATATGTCTGTGAAAGGCATAAGTATCGAGCTATCGGCCGATAAAGGACTTACCTCTGAAAGAAAACTTCTTTTCCTCTAGGAAGGTAAGGATATGTTGTGCCAACCCCAACTTGTGTGGGATAAGGGCGGGAAAAAGAAGAAGAATATACTACGAAATTAATAAACACATCATAAATAGATCTAGTCTTATTTTGATTAGAAATATTTGTAGAAAAATTATTAATGATTCAGAAAACTTCCTATGGCCTAAATAATTTAATGTTATGAAATTTGTTATTTTACAAAATATTATTTGTAATGCATATTATTCAACAACCTCGGCTCATTTAAATGTTAATTTTGAATGTAACAAGAATGTAAATGTAATAGCAACTGAAATAGATGAATGCACATTAAATCGTTTACGATAGTCCACATTACAATACAGTTTCAGAACGCCGCATTGAATTTGCGTAAATCGATTATCGTTGATTTAACTCAAGTATGTGCGTCAGATGCACCAATGATAGTAAATTAAGGATAATTTATTAGTTTTAGATAACATATCTGATAAGAATATTATTAGTGAGCGCCCTGTAAAAACATTGTTCGGAATTATAAATACCGGTATCAACAACGATTTATCGATACTTTTTCATGAACCCAATCACAATATTTTTGGTATAAGTGACAAGACGATCTTAATTAAGACTATATTTATTGTCACTTCCTTCGACATTACGAACCCAACCCACAACCATAATTATTTATTTATTTATTCTTTATTGAAAACCCCTCAAAAAGGGTTACAAAGGGCGAACTTAATGCCTATTGGCATTCTCTACCAGTCAAGTCGTGGTAGGTGCAATAAATAAAATTGCAACATGAATTTATGTGACACAAATAATAATATATGCATTACACATCATATAAGTATTATGTAATACATACTCATACAAGTTAGAATTTGTGACCGCAACTGGAGCCAAAGTAGTCTAAAAACTGTTCTTTAAAGAGGAGATTTATTCAATAAAAAAAAACTGAATTAAAACCCTATGCATTCATCGCATCAATCTTTAGTTCAATAAGGATTGAATTTCTCTACTAAATATGGTTAAATTGCGCGAAAAGTATGAAAACTCAATTTATTTGAGTTTACATACTAACAACATGTTGCTCGAAATGACCTTAATTTTGCGGACACACAAATCATATCTTTTTAAGAATTTCCTTCAAGTAACTTTTAATAAGGTTGAGTTAAATAATCAAAATTATATTACGAACCGCAGTTCTGAACTCAGTTAAAAATTTCATTTTTTTATAGGTATACTACGACCTATAAAAACTCTAAAGCGGTGAGGTATGGTGATTTCACTGGTACTTCAATTGTCCCCTTCAGCCCTGTAATCTCGGGCTTGTAGGGCTAAGTATTAGTAATTAAAGACAGTTTGTATACACCGCTAAGACTTTGAAATTTTTATAAAGCAAAATAAATGCAATTTAAGTTAAAAATGGAAGTTTACTGTCATTTAAGATAGACAAAGGTTAAAAAAGGGCATGCATCATGTATTTTTTTTATACTTTTCTTTACTTTAAATTTTTTGAGCAATATGATTCGCAGAAAATCCATTACGGAAAAAAGATTAACCACACTACATTATAAACAATATAGTAAATGGACAAATAAGAAATAAATATTATACAAAACGATATTTTTATTAAAAATATGAAAATATCCAATCACTGCTATGTTAATAAAAAATAATTACATAATATGAGACATTGGCAGTTGTTCACGTATTTATGGGATGTGTTTGCGTATTCAATTTTATTTCATTCATAACTCAAAAATTATATGTTAATTAAAAATAGATATATGCAAAAAATAATGAAAATTGGGTGAAGTTAAAGAATTAACCGATGGAGCGCG